TCTCACTTGCTCTCAATTAATCCACTTTCTAAAGTTTTGAATCAGTTTTGAATATTCACCAGTTCTCTCTTGCATGTCTAGGAAAACCTCTTCCTCCTTCTCATTTTTCTAGTCCCAACTAAGGCCTTACCTCCTTTGAGAAGTCATCATTCCCTGAACCTCAGTCCCCAACCCGCAAATCCAGGGTAAGTCTCTCCTGTGAGCTGTGACAACTAACACACTCCCACTGTATTATAATTGCCCTTTTATCTCTTTGTGTGCCCCACCAGACTGTAAGCTGGATGTTAGAGACCTGGATTTATTCACCTTTCTAGCTCCAGGGCCTGGTACATAGTAGGAGCTTAATATATGTGGAATCACCAAACAAATGAACAAAGAAAGGGAATTTCATGCAAAAGAAACAGCATGAGCAAAGGCACAGAAGTACGAAGGTGCATGTGTGTGTTTGGGAAATAGCAAGAAGTTAGATGGCTGGTGCTGTCCTTGGTGACATGGCATAAAACTGGAATGGATGTGGTATCAGACTATAAGTGTTTTGGAAAACAAAGACTAAGGAGGATGAACTTTCCTTTGTAGCCAATACAAAGCCAAAGGTGGGTTTAAGTAGGAAAAACACATGAGCACATGTATTAATATAAGAAAAAATTGATGAAAAAACAGAAATTCCACATTTTCTTCTTTCTTCTTTCCCTGAAGTTAATTTTTCTCCCTAGCACTGATGAAATTGAGAATATGGAGAGAGGGAACCTGAGAGAGAGGAGAGTGTACTGATTTAAAAACACAGGAGTTAGAGTCAGACATATGTGAGGTTTAAATTTTGGTTCTGTGTGAATGTTCACAACTCAATTTCCAACACCGTTTTCCCAGCTAGAGATGTTAGGATGAATAGAGTAACAGCCTCTAAGCTTCTTCAGAGGGTTGGGAAGGGTGAACTTACACAATGTGTTTTTGCCAAGCACAGGGGCTGTATAAAATAAGTGTACAAAAACTGTTAGTTGTCTCGTGTATCCCATTGGCAGGTGGCCTTCAGCGGCTACTTCTGAGAGGAAAGCAAAGAGGGGAAGTTGCGGTTGAAAACGGAAGGAAGTGCTCCTGCTCCGAAGAGAGCAAATTGATAATTACTGACGCCGCCTCCTCTCTGACACCAATCCAGTAACTTTCCTTTTGCTTTCCTCCTACTTGAAATTGGCTCTCTAAAATAAGGATTGTCTTCAGGCAAAACTGTAGTATGTGGACCTCTCCAAGGGTCTCTGCTCATAACTTCCTGGCCCCTGAGGCCATGATGAGTGATTCGGACCCAGGTGAGACACTCCCGGGGGAAAGCTGTTTTCATCCTGCCCCTGACTCCTGGGCACTTGTTCCTTCAGCCTACTCTTTTCTGTCTGTATCCTGTTCCCTCCAGTTCTACAGAGGTGACCAAATGCAAACTGACCAATTCATTCACAGTGAAGGGGACACTGGATGAATGCGAGCTCCCTCTCACATCCCAATAAAGGCTGTTGAGTCTCTACATAAGGAAATGAGTGTTCTTGGGTTTTCAAACACCAGAGGGAGGCGTGAAGGAAACTCTGGGAGCTGAAGGTTTCTGGAAGAGACCGTGGAGCTCAGCACTCAGAGCAGCTCTGCCTGTATTTGTTTTAACTTGGGAGCTGCAAGATTTCCTTTAGTTCTGAAGATGAGAAAAAGAACTTCAAAAACCAGCAGCCCAATTCAGACATTTTACACAAAAGGAAACTGAAGACCAGAGAGGTTAAGTGGCTTGAACAAGGGACTCAGCAGCAGAATGAGTACCAGAACCCAGGTCCCGCTGACACCCAGCCCAAGGCTCTCTCAGTTGAACACCTTACCAGGGAAATGGTTGTACCCATGGCTTAGACTGCAGCAGGGCTGCAGAGCCCCTGCTTAGTTGATACCGTTGCCAATTAGCTAGGGCCTCCCCTGACCAGTTCCGACTCACCAGCCTGGTTAGGACAGTAAATTTGACCTGTGTCCAAGGGTCCAGGGATGCTTTGAAAGCTCAGACCTACTGTGCCTGCTGCTGAGGCAGGTGCCCCAAGTGCCCTTGGCATTTTTCCATACTGTGCATATCACCATGTAACCTGGGCAGAGTTCATTTGGGAAACTCCATTTCTGAAAATGATCGCATTAACAGAGCTGAAAGGAATATTCCGTTTTCTAAAGAGGGCAGAGAGGGAATGAATGAATGAACATTGCTGAGTGCCCGTTTGTGCCAGTGGCCCTCCAACATGCTTCCAGAGTTCTGAGTAGACTCTCATCTGTTCCCTTTGACCCAAACCTCCTGCTTAGTCTGTCTTATTCCCACTTCACATGTGAGGACACTGGGGATCTGAGGGTTAAAGTGACCCTCTCAGTGTTATCTCAGATGTGGATTTTGCCCAACCCCCAACGGCATGTGAGTGCCCACTTACCCAACAGCTTCCACCCCAGGTGGCATTTTGGCTGATGGATGAGGTCACTCATACAGGCTCTTTCTTGCCAAATATTGTATGTGCACTGCAATGACTTATTGAAAAACATGTTTCCAATAATACTGTTCCACTAAATATCTAGTAGGAATGGTGGAAGGGCTTCTTCCCTGTTGTTTGATCCACACTGTTCCTTAAATCGCCTGGGGTATTCAGTGTGGTGTCCCCTGTTCCTGCAGCTGTCTGGTTGGCTGACTGTGATCATGGTACTTGGACACTGATCTGGAGTAGCTCTCTCAGCTTCATCTATAGAAAGAGAGTGAACTGGGTTCTCTCTCTCTCCTCCCACATATGTATATACATATGTATGTGTAAAAAACATTTGTGATCTCCATTAGTGCTGTTCATCTATTTCCAGCTCTCTGCCTCCGGTACATCTGTCTTCTTGCCCATTGTGAGTAGGTGGGATCATAGACTGGTTCTGGCCAATGAATTTGATAATAAGTGATGTGTGTCACTTCTGCGCTGAGCTTTTCATAATTGCTGGCATAAAAACTGCAGACTGCACCCTCCTCTGTATGGAACCAACAAAATCTGAGGGGTGTCTGCTCCATCACCTGGACCCCTGAATGACTTCGATGGACCGAGGACCACTGGCACCCCACAAATCTGCAGAGGACATCAGCATCAAGAAGAGCTGCTCAGGTGTTTTAAGCCCTTGAGAATATGGGGCTGTGTGTCCATGCTGTATAAGCAGCCTCGCCTGGCAGACACACATTTACAGACCCAGACACTTTTTATGCATACCCCATTGCTTTCTCCAAATAAACCTAGGAGGTAGGTCCTATTGCCATGCCCATTTTACAGATGAAAAAGCCCCAGCTGAGAGAACTTAATTAAGTTGTCTAAGATCATGGCAGATGGCTGAGACAGTTCCATTCCATATCTCTGTAGCTCCAAGTCCTGGTCTTAATCAACACACCCGCTCTGTTCTCTCTGCCTAGGTGCTTTCTGAGCCAGGAAGCAAATAACATTTGTTACCCATTTTCCCAAAACATGTTTTTGCTTCATCATGTCACTTACCCTCACTCAACTTTCTTACTGTATTCAAAAGCCACATGTTAAAGAAGGAAAATTGGTTTTTAACAAACGATTATAGCATCATATATTATAGTTCAGTGGTTGGCATTCTGTCACTTTCTAGAAAATGTGATCTGGCAAATATGAATCCTTCTCACAGCAAGTAGCCCTCAGCTAAGAAAATTACTTTTATTAACCAAAAAATTATTCTTAGAATTGATGGCTGTGAGGATGACCTTTGGCTTACTGTAGTATAGCAATGTGTCTACCACAGTAAAAATGCCAGAGCAGGACAGGTCCCACAAAAGGCAATAAAGGAACAACATTCCAAAGACAAATACACTTGAGACACGTATGACAGCCATGGGAAGGGGAGGGTAATCAGTTATAAGAAATGACAGTGTTTTGGCAGCCTCGGCTACTTTAACTGACAGGACAAATAAAACTAATGTAAATTTTTTAAAAAAGAGTGAGTCATAAGAGTTACAGATACAAATCCAAGTTAGTTTTGGACTTTGATTTAAATCTGTCGGGCATCCCTCTTTTTTTTCAGTGCACTGAGGTTGATGTTTCCCAGTTACAGACATAAAAACATTTCTAGTTCTTCTAATTTTTCCTTGGTTATCTGATTTAATCTGGGTTTTATTCTGCTGTTAATCCTCTCAGACTTACTTTGCTCTTCAGATCTTCCCTTTAAGGCATGTCCTCATCTGAGAATGTTTGTGGCTAAATGCAAATCCTTTGTGAATTTAGGCAAGAATACAAAGGGGGATCCATTAAAATGGTCATTTTTTTTTTTCAGATGCAACCTGCTCTAAACAGATTGTGAGATACTGTATTGTGACTTTTGGACTTTCTCAAGTTGGACCCTGAAATATTAATAGGACTTACTTTAAAATTCGTTAGGTACTCTCATGAAGGCAGAAATGAAAGTCTTTCTTAAGTAATGTTCACATTTATTCTGTGAATAGAAGTAAGATCTCCAAATAAAAAGTCTTGAAAAGTTTAGGGAAATCTTTCCTTTGATTTGTTTCTTGGGAAACTTGTCTATTAAAATGCATCAAGTGCTATAAATACCCTCCTCCTGATTGTAATTCTTTACCTAGTATATCACTACTAGAATTGGGATGAACAAGTTCACTTTATTTGTTGGCCAAAGACAAGGCTATTTGGATTCTTGCTAAAGAACAGGACATAAATCCAGGGCTTTTGAAGTCTTTAGTGGCTTAATGTTAAAACTTTGCTTCCTCAAGATGAAAGTTCAAACACAATTTAGGTCAAAGGTTAAAGAAGTCTGCCACTTGAGTGGGCAGATAAGGGTTTCGAAGGTTTCAGCTGAGGCCTGGTGACTGGGCCAGGCAGGGAAGATGGAGGATAAAGGAGACCCGGCTCCACTCTCAGTTACCTGCCTCCTGTTTCCTTAAGAACTAATGTTCATTAAACTCCTCTCCTTTAATAAAGAAAAAAATTCACAATCAAAAAAGTAAATCCTACCTTTGTTCTGGCAAACTAGGTCAGCATCCTCTGTTCCTGCTGTCAGTTTTCTGCTGCGTGGGTTTCACGATGAGTCACAGGTATTTATGAAACTGTGCTTGATTTAACTTTGCCTTTTTTCCCATCTGAGGGCTCCAGTGTCTCTTGGTCAGACAATGATTGAGTTGGCGGGTGTTTCTCTTGGAAGATGCCTAAGTGCAGACAGCAGATGTGAGGTCTACCTTCGCACAAGCCTGACTGGGAGTCGAAGCATCCCAAACATACATGCTGCGTGCAGAGATGCCACGGCCACATAAAAGCAGCTTAGCAGCATGGAAACTTTATTTTTTTACAACCCATTTTAATGGGATTGGATCCAGTGGTATAAATTTCACTAAGCCTGCCTTTAAAAAAATAGAGAATCATTCACATTTTCTCTAGACTTCTGCTTCTCTATCCAAACTCATCAATATTGCCATTTAGAACTTCTGTGTTAATTGTAAAGCCAAGATAAGGATTTTCTTATATAAGCTGTACGACAATGGCAGCCTTTGGATATAGTTCTGAGGCATCAGAGAAGACTGCAGACACAGACTGTAGATGTCAGTGCAAATATGGAAAGCAAATCTTTACCCTACACAGCAGATGAGGCAGCATTCATGATTTCCTCCCTGTGCGTGGCCTCAGAGAGGGAGACAAGGAGTCCCAGGGCAAGATTTTTTTAAGAGAGGACTCGATAATCAGTACGAAAGATGGTTTTATGTGTGTGGTCTCATTGTTAGAGCCAGGGAATAAGAGCTAGGAATTCCCAGGTCTTGTGATTACATCTATTGCCAACTCTCTGTGCTCTCAAGTCTTGGTTATTCTCCTCTGTTTCATGACTATAAATGAGTACCACTGAGCCATCAGGCAGTGCAGTAAACCTATGGGAGGGGCTATGTTTCCCCTCCATATTACCCACCCTCTTAGAAATGCCTTTATGTATTCCTCCGCCAGTTAGCATTGGTAGAAAACAGTGCAGGGTATGATGGCGCATGGAGCTGGCACCCTAGAGTGATATTCTTCAGGGCACACAGCTGTGACCCCACTTCCCCACTTCTTACGTGTCCCCAAAGCATTTTTGAGCCATGTTAGAAAGAGGCATTACTATTGGTTAGAAGTGCTTCCGTCTTAAAACAAAAATTCTTACCTCAAACCACAGATAAGTCTATTTGAGAGAAAATTAAAGAATGGGGACCTGAAGGCAAGCGTTGGGTTTAATTACTTGCACTTACACAGTACTCTCCACACCTGGACTAGAGCAGGGCTTCACAAGCACACGAAACACCTGGACATGTTGTTAAATGCAGATTCTGATTCAGGAGGCCTGCATGGTTTTGAGATTCACCATTTCTAGCAAAGTCCTTGATAATGTGATGTTGCAGGTCTCTGGCCACACTTGAGTAGCAAAGAAATAAAAGATACCTTCTAATTGACCCCCTTTTTTCCCCCAAAGCAGAGAAGCAGTATAATTTGTGCTTAAGAGTGAGGATCCTACAACTGGACTTCCTGGGTTCAAATTCTGGCACCAGCAAGTGTCATCATAAGCAACAATTAGTGTAATTAAGCTTCAGTTTTTTCTTCTGGAAAATGGGCTGATAGGAGTATTAACCAAGGTGATATCTTGGAAATTCAGATGAAAACTGATGAGGGCCTAAAATAAGGCTCTGGTAACAGGAGTGGAGAGAAGAGTAGATGCTCCAGAGACACGAAGGAGGTCTGATTGACAGGACTGACCAAGTGTGGGAAGCAAGTAGGGGAAAGAGTCAAGGGTGATGCCCAGATTTCTGGAATGGATGGCTCAGCGTTCCAGCCACTGAATACACCAGAAGGTGCATGTGGTGAGTGGGGAGAGGGTGGCATTGGGGAGAAATGATGAATACAGTGTCGGACACATTGATTTGGGTATCTGGGCTGGAGACACAGGTTTGAGAGAGCACACCATGGAAAATCAAAGGGGTGACAAGAAAGAAGCCGGGACGGAACTCCAGCTAATGTGCATATTCAGGGAGTCAGCTGCAGAAGAAGAAAGAAGTATTGGAAAAGTAGGCAGAAAACCTGGAAAATGTGGCACCATTTCAGCTGGGAGGTTGGGAAATGGTAACACTGGCAAAGACCGGGTGAGTAGAAAAGGAAGAACTTTCAGGAGAGAAGAGAGTACATTCCATGTTGGATACACTGCTTTTTGGTTGTTGTTTTTCGTTGTTTGTTTGTTTGTTTGAGACAGAGTCTCACTCTGCTGCCCAGGCTGGAATGCAGTGATGTGATCTCAGCTCATTGCAACCTCTACCTCCTGGGTTCAAGCAATTCTCATGCCTCAGCCTCCAGAGTAGCTGGGACTATAGGTGTGTGCCATGATGCTGGCTAATTTTGAATACACTGCTTTTGAAATGTGAGAAAACTAAATAAACTAAGTATAGGGATTTTGAAATACATTGTAGATCCATCAGCAGAAACAGGCAAAGACCTTTGACAGCAACATTTAGATGCAATCATAAAAGACCAGAGGAGTGAGGGGGCAGCAACCAGAAAATGTTTGGGAAAGAGAGGCCAGAAAGTACCTAGAAAGGGGGTGGTCACTGAGTACGGAAGCTAGAAGAAAAAAGAGGACTTGTGTGTCACAGGCAATTTTTGTTATTAAAATGTGACAATTCAAAAAGCTAAAAAGCAAAAACTTCCTCCGTGAAAAAAAATTAAAAATTGTTGACTATAACATCATGAGTACTAGAGATTGAAAACAGTGAAAATTCGAAGGAAACTTTTAAATCTTTAATTTAAACCTTTTTAAAATTAAAAAGTTCAATAAAGCAAGTCTTGTAAGCAAAATAGCAAATAATTGGCCTGGATACTTTTTGACAGGACAGGTCAGATGCTAGATAAGTTTTAACAGTACACGTGTGCCTGAGACCTCAGTTATGCTTCTTTTAGTACAGAATGTTGGGGTGTTCTTGCCACAGCAGCTGTGATGATCCACCTTTGATAACAGCATCAGTTATTCTTCTAGTTTCTCTTGCTCTTGTAGCGACCAGAAAATCAACATCAGTCCCTAGATCTGGAAATATGGAACTAAAAATTCTGTGACATAATTAGGAACATAGCCTGGATTGATGGCAAAATGAACAGCAAGACTTGGGAATCCGACCTTTCCTGTTCATCTTCACATCCTAGGCTTTTGCAGACCCAGAACCCAACCCACAGAGGCACTTCACAAATGTTTGTTGAATGAAGGGCAACATAAAATATTGCATTTAACAAGCTCTGCTCAAATCCCACTACTTCAGAGGGCTTTTCCTGATGAATCCCACTCTCGGAAGGCACTTTGTACTCATGGATTTCTATATAAGCTTTTAATCTTGCCATCTTGCAATTATTATTATTCATGTGTTATTTTTAATTATTCTCTTATTAATTTGTGTGTGTGTGTGTGTGTGTGTGTGCTTGCACATGTACACAGGCTTTACTTCCTCAATTCACTACGAGTTCTCTAAGTCAGACCCCTTATTTTTCTCTGCTTTGAATTCCCAGAGTGACTTATATGAGTCTGGGGACAGTCATGACTTATAGTTGAAATCTCTCTCCTCCACTTAGACTGCACTGTTAAATGTGTTAATCATTGCCAATAGTTCTTTTGTCCCTAGTAATGTATGCCATTCTACTTCACACAAAAATAAAAGGCTTGACATTTTTAAGTGCTACAATTTCATAATAGAATTAATTTCTGAAAGAATACATACTTAATTCTTATTTATAAGTCTGATGGAGACTTATTTATTTTTGCCAGATAACTTCCATGTACACCTAAAGGCTAATGCCCAGTAGGTGATATGTGACATTCACGTAGGTGCTTTTACACATCAGACACACCTGCACTTTAATTCTGTAGATCACAGGTAAAACCATGCTCCCTGGCTTCACAAAAAAAACAAAAATATTACGGGAAAGAGCTAAAGCAACAATCATATAAACTAAGGAATCCCTTACAATTTGCTTACAAAGAGACGTTTCCCTGGTGAGGAGTCATTTTAAAAAAATCTTTGGAAGCAGAAAGTTTTCCAAGAAAGAGAAGAATAAATCAGCTCTGCTAGACGCAAGAATGTTTGAAAAGGCTAGGTGCTGCTGGTTCACACTTAGGGAAGTGCAAACATCAAAAGGCAGTATCTGTTTTTACTTTGATAGCCATAATTACCATCTTCATGTAATTAATACCACTAAAATTTATGCCCTTTGTCTGCTTAACATAATATTCATTTATTCATTCATTCAACAAATATTTATGGGATTTGTTGAGGATACAACAAATATGCTGAGGATACAAGAGAAGACGAAACAAAATCCGTGTCTCTAGCTACCACATTCTGGTTTAATAAAATAACATTAGCACAGCGGAATTATGTATGTAAACTGTAAGAAATTACTAAGGGGTTAAATTTTTTGATAATTGCTGAATATTTAAACTTTAAAATAACACTGTAGGAAACTGAGGACATAATTTCCATTACACATAAAATATTTTTGATACAGTATTTTAAGCCCACCAAATAATAACCACCTAAAAGAACTGCTACCTAATTTTTACACAAACAGCATGCTGAGCCTCTTGGGAAATGCACATTTTCATAGTTTTTAGGCTTTCATAACAGATTACTTGGGGTCTTCTAGAATATACAGCGTGATCACATATCAGGTTAATTAAAATAGAATTCTTTCTGAGAGTAATAACAAATAATTCACTCACAAAACTTTAATGACATGTCATAAATGAATTTCAATCCAGGCAAACTAGCTTCATTTCTATCTATGAAGCTGCTAGGATGAACAAAGACTCCTGGTACAAAGCTCTCAACTCTAGCTCAACACAGATAGCTGTGTTTTGAAAGAAGACCATTTGACTGATGGATTCTTTCGGCCGAATGTTGACCTTATTATTGTTTCCCAAAGCTGCTCATATTGTGTAATAAAGCTCAGCTTTTGAAAACCTGAAGCCATGCATCATAGCATATGCTTATTGTATGATATGTTGATTATTTTTCTTTCTATTGGTTTTATGGTACATTCCCACAATGGCTCATTAATAACTGTTCTATATTTGTTTTCAAGGTGTGTGAGTTGGCTCAAAGACAGACAACTTCTGCCAGCTTCACCTGTGGTCGTAAGCTCACTGGAATTCCAAGAGCCGTGAAGAACTAAAGGAAACCTAGTACCTTTGAGCAACATGGCTTGATTTTCCTAGTCAAAGACTTTAATTCAAAGCTCTTTTATGAATAGTACTATTAACTGGTTTGTTTCCTTCCTCTGGTACAAACAAGAACATATGAGTTATGTTATGGAAATGCCAGTGTTCTAAACTTTGTGTCTTCATTATTTCCTTAGTCACCATTTTGGAAGGCTAGATCCTTTAGAGGAATCATTTATTTGGGTGTTTCTTCTTCTTCTTCTTTTTTTTGAGACGGAGTTTCACTCTTGTTACCCAAGCTGGAATGCAATGGCGCGATCTCGGCTCACCACAACCTCTGCCTCCTGGGTTCAGGCAATTCTCCTGCCTCAGCCTCCTGAGTAGCTGGGATTACAGGCAAGCACCACCGTGCCCAACTAATTTTTTGTATTTTTAGTAGAGACGGGGTTT